CCTTCGCCAGAAAAACAGGACAGCCCGCAGCCCGTACATTCCCGACGAAGCAAAGTAACCTCTTTTATGCGTCCAACTTATTTTAACACCTAGTCGTTTACTAGGGCCTTGAAAAAGGAGAAAAAATTAGTACCCGCTGAGGTTGTTGAAAAGCGAAACAGAAGTTTGTGTAAGGCCTTTAGAGAGAGGTCGAATTCACCCTACCCAAAAGAGGTAAGCTTTCGAGTATAAGCTGAGGGCTGGAACACTGTTTTTAGGCGATGGCTACTTCACCTGAAAAACCATCGAGGTCGTCATCGTGGAAGGTACTTATAGACGTTAATTGGAAGGCACTTAAGCTTTTTGTAGACACGCTCGCGTAAGCATGCTAAAAAGGGAGATGATGAACCAATTTCAAAGGAGTCGCACAAGACCTCCGGCAGACGCAGGTGTAGGCGTTCAAGAAGCATGTCCAAACCCAAGAGCCCCTAGGGTTTATAATTGGTGTCCGATATCCGCCTATGCTTTCATGTTACCTTTTAGCTGACATTTCTTTTACGCAAACTCAAGACGACAGAATCTCTAGGTTATTCTTGCGGTCATTGTCTGTGCGTTTTTGGGTGCCCTCATTTGGTAACTTTTGACTCGGAACTTTTACCCTTTCCTTGCTTATTTTTCAATTCTATTTGATACGCTTAACTCTTATCTTGTAAATAAGTGGCCTTTTGATCGATTGCAAAACTCCAAATTAATTTTACATCCTGACTATCAACTTTCATTGGATTTTAAAGCCAGTTTATTTACAGATTTTGTATGTTTATATTTCATATATTATTTAAACAATTACACGCCTTTTATCACATGTAGAATAGTCAGCTTGTACCTTGTAATATCACTATCGTCATAGACCATGTAATTTTCCTAAATTTGTATGAGTTTGATGGTTACTCCAATACCAGTGTGAATGTATTTAAGAAAACATAGAAATAATCATGAACAGCATTTGGCATATTAAGTACTTAAAAGAACTATAGGAATCACTCAGTGTTCGTAAAG